TTCCGTGCCATCCTTGCCTGGCGTGGAGCGCCGGAGCTGATCGGGGCCCCCGCAGCTGCTCACCCCCTCCGCTCCTCTCAATCCACCAGTGCGATGACGACGACAACAACAACAACAACAAAAGGCTAAATAACCCAGGCAGGTGATGCTTACAGAGGCATCTGATGGGATGGAAACTCCTTTTTTTAGCTTGCCCTGGAACTTGCTCATTTTCCTAGCTGTGTAGCATGTGTACGGACTTTTTTGGAAGCAAACGAAGGCACAATGTCTGATGCCTTAAACTTTTCCTCTGACTTGGCGGTGCATGGCTTTGCCTTACCGAGAGTCTTCGTAAGCTTCATCGTGCCTTCTAGAGAAGGGTAAAAAAGGTGGGTTTTTAGTTGGTTTGTTTGGTATTGTCTCTTTTTTCTTTTTTTTTCTTTTTTTCTATAAAGGCTTGATTTAAGGGAGGTAGCCGTGTGAGCTAATTAATGAGCAATTAAAGCCAAGGAGTAAAGGAGACATGCTTTAATTCTCTCCCAGCTCGTTTAGGTTTTGCCGGGCGTTCTGAGAGCAGCCGCGAAGCTGCTTTGTTGCCAAGGTGACTTGTAAATGTTGCTGAGGCGATGCTGCTCCGGTGCATTTCCATAGTACAAACATGATAAATTATGGGATGCATATGTCATGAGTCATAGGATTGTTCAGAGATCAAGTGATTTAAGCTATTGGCACGGACACGCGCATCAATACGGGCATGTGATGATCGCATGTCGGTTCGTAACAAAGCTCTTCTAGCAGTATTGAAAATCATACGCGAGTGTGAAAGATTGAATGAATTCTACAGGCTGTGAATTTCTTAATCGGGGAGCGTGATTTTACCCGTTGATTTAATTTTCTGGGAGGAAGACACTGCCCGTTTAAGCCTTCGCTGGGAAAAATAAAACCTGATATGTTAAAAGCCTGATCTTAAGGCCTGAGGTTATGGGGAAAAAGTTAAAGCAGTTTTTACGTGTGAAAGTAAATGGTGTAATGTGCCAAAGCCTTTAGAGCTGATCTTCAGCGGTGGAGCGAGGTGCCGGTGTCTCTTTGCGTGGTAATCCCCTGCTTTGCTTTTCTCGCTGGGCTGTGCGTATACCTGAACAAACGAAGGATGGAGACAGTAAACATGTCCTTTGCCCTGGGCAGTTATTACCTTCCCGCCACGGGACATCGTGCAAAAAAAAACCGGGGAAAAACCCAAAAGTTCGTGCAGGGAGAATGGTGGTTGCTTGTTTGTGCGGTGTGGTAGGCTTGGGCAGAAGGGAACAAATGTGGGAAGCTCCCGAGCAGAGGTGCTTGGGAGGGAAAATGAGATCGGCTGGGTTCCCTCTGCCCCATGGGATACTCGGAACTGGGTGCTGAAGGTGACTTATGGAATTTCTTACTGTCGTCGTGATCTCCGTGCTGAATACTGGGTTTTAGCATTTTGGGTAGTTATTACCATCCTCGGATGGATAAAGGATGCCTTGCGTAAGTGAGCGCAATGAGAGGTTGCTCCAGGGAAGAGGAAAGGCTGTTTTTAGCTGCCGTGTTATTTGAACAAAAGAATCGCAGCTGAAACCCTAAGATGTGTTTCCGTGTTTGCATTGCATGGGAGGGCCTGGTCTGGAGCAGCCGACAGCGACAGGAAGATGGAAAACTGAAGGAAAGTTTTTGTTTTTTTTTTTTTCTTTTGTGGGTAGCATGTTTGTGCGTGTAACTGTTTCTGGTGAGATTGTAACCTGGGCACTAAGGAGATGCTGCTTCAGGCAGAAACTGTATGTGGGGAAGCATCTTCTTTATTCTTCCTTGTTTCTAGTTTGGTAGGATGGCGAGAAATGGTTTGAGTTGTTGGTGCTGGTTCTCACACCTGGTGCGAGACTGGCAAATGCTGGAGGCTTGAGGAAGGAACACATTTAAGAGTTTAATCTCCTTACTCATAGAGGTGTGTTGCTATGAGAACTCAGCACTTATCCTGTGTTTCTGGCTACGTCGTCACTGTTTGAATAATGATGATATGAAAACTCCCCAGTATTTTGATGTTGTTTTCCTCCTCCGGCAGAGAAAAGGATGTTGTAGATACATGGTGGGGGGGGAAGAAAAGCAAATAAATTCTTGTCCTTGTTGGGCATGCACGACACGCTTATGTTGCTGTGCCTCATGTTGACATCTACAGCAAATAAATTCTTGTCCTTGTTGGGCACGCACGACACGCTTATGTTGCTGTGCCTCACGTTGACATCTGTATCTTAATTTGGGGACACATTGCGTCTCATCCGGGTTGCTTGCAAAACAGTTTGAGGACAGAGTGGAATCTGGTGGTAAAATATTAATAGAGCCTGTGCTCCGCGGCAGTCGCCGCTGTGCCAAGGGGAGAGACCTCTTGGCGTGCAACCGGTCCGTGCAAGCTGCGTAGAGATCCTGGCAGCCCGGGGCTGTGCCGTGTCCCGAGCAGCGACTGACCTTTGTTCTTTGGTGGTGAAAATCCGGCTGTAGAAGGGGCAGGGATCATCGGCAGCGGAGCAGATAGGGAAGGATGTGTCCCGCGCGGCTCCCCGGCATCGCTGTCCCTGTCCTCCTGTGTCAGCGCGGGATGGTTACACAACCTGGATTAACGCGCGGAGAAGTTGTTCCTCTGATGGTCTTAACCGCAGCTAGCGGGATGGATCTCAGAGACGCCTGTGCAACGGGCAGTTCTCGAGAGGGATTTCTGGCTCAGCGGCCGAGGGGATGGAGCTCTGGTCCCCTAAGGGGTCCCCCTCGGATGTGACCAGAGAGTGGAGGCAAAGGTGTCGCGGAGCCGCTGGCAGTGAGGGCTTTTTGGATAAACTTCAATAGATGTGTGCTCTTCTCCTCGGCACGTGGAGAAATGCTGACGGTGACGAGCTGTTAGCGAGGTTACAGCAAATGCCTCTCCCCTCCTTTTTATTTTTTAGCACGCACGGTCTGAGCGAGCGGTACTTGGCATCCCTGTGCCAAGTCTGCTTGCAGATAGAGAAGGAATTAATCTGCAGCGAGTCGCTTTCGGTGGTGGCAGGCTGGAATTAGCTCGCTGTTTCCTGCAAGCCCCAAAGATTAAGACCATCAAACCCCCCACACACCCTCCCCGTACAGCCGGCTGCTTCCTCTGACCCTGCGAAAGCTTCTCTGGGAATTGGTCAGGATGTGCCTGCCTTTTCTCAGGCCAGGCAGTGTTCGGAGCAGGAAAGCCGTCCCGATCTAGCGACTCTCGGCGTGAACCGTGGCGTGTAGCTGCCGGTACCGCTGGGGAGACGAAGGCTATAAAGAGTGGGAACGTGGCGGGGGGTGCCCTTACATCATCCGCTTGGGGAAACTGAGCCTATAAGTATAATGTTTCCTTACGAAAGGAGGGAAAAATAGCAGATTGTGTTAAAAATGTAAAATGCAATCTGATAGAAGTGCTACTTAAAATGTGGCTGGTCCGGTTCCTTTTATGCTGTGTGAAAGAGGACTGCGGGTGCTGGTGCTGTGGTTGTAGGGTACAGCTGTTGGGCAGCATCTTCATGCCAGATGTGCAAGCATGGGGTGTTGCCAGATGCATTCTGCTTCGGGGGGACACTGGTGATTTAGAGGCACAGCCATAGTAAGGTGAGATACCTGTTTTGTGGAACACGTCAGCGTTGCTGGCTGGAAGAAGTGTGACAAACTGCATTTTGAAGTCTTGAAGGCAGCAGGTGTTGGCCAGACGGCCTGGCGGAGAGGAGCATCGCCAAATAGCAGAATGGCCTGAGCATCCCGCTTGCCTGGAAAAAGTCAACTTTTGTTTTGATTTTTCTTGGCCAAATATCTTCTGCTGTTTTATGAAACTGCCCTGAAGGCAGTTTCCCAAGCAGCGTAAAAATGATACTGGGGTATCTTCTGGTGCCCGCAAACATCTCCAGAACCCTGGGTGCTACTTGGAGTCATTTCCAAGTTGTGGTGAAGAAAAACCTCATCAGAGAAGTTTGGTGTCCCCCCCCCGCCCCTAACTTTCCATTGCTGACAACAGGTATTTCAAGGACAGTTGTGAAACCAGATGTTGGCAGAGCTGTCGGAAGGTGCTCTCAAGATAAGGTGGGATAGAGTTGGGCTGCATCCCGGGGGCTACCAGTGCCCGGACGCTGTTGTGATGGGTCTTGGAGGGGACAGGAGGGGAGCAACGTCTGCCCTGGCGAGGAGGAAGAGCAGAAGTTGAAGGTCAGGCTGTATGGGGGAGGAGGTTGAGTAAGGATGGGGAGTATCGGGGAGAGAAGGGAAACAGAGCTGTCAGGAGTCCAGGTAGGAAACTAGCAGATGGGTTTGCAGGAAGGGAGGTGGGAGAAGGAGGAAGAGCAAGGAGGAGGAAGAGGAGAAGGGACAGGGAGCTGTGGGGAAGTCGGATGGAGCATACAGACAGTTTGCCAAACAGCGGCGGACGTGCAGAAAGAGTATTGGTCAGCCAGGAGGGCTCAAACGCCTGGGAAAACCAACTTGTTTCTGAGAATTGTGAATGGAAGTTGATTAACTGTGTAAGTCTGGACCGCGTGTCTGCCGAACCATGCCTCGGCTACTTCGGTTAAACCCAGGAAAAAACAAGTATTCAAGATGATGATGAAGTTTCATTTTAAGTCAAGCATCCATTTAAAATGGTTTAAGCTGTCTCTAAATTTGGGGGAACAGTATTGGAGAGGGGAGGCTGAAGTTAGGGCAAGCACGGCAATGTGGGTGTGTTTGTGGCGAATTTGTCAGACCAGTTTCTCGTGAGCTTTTCAAAGCCCACCCGCTCGCCGCTGCTGGAAATACTCCCCGAAAAAAGTGAGGCGTTTTTTAAAAGGAGGTTGCAAAGATTATGTGATGTACAGTGACTGGCTGGTTGCTTGAAGTAAGGAAGCCTTTTTATAACCTTGGATTCAAGTAGTGCTTTTTGCGAAATATCACTGCTATTCTTAGTGGTATTCCCGTGTATGTGTGTGCGTGCTCTGCATCCCACTTATATCTCCAGAAGAAGGGACGAACGCTTTTAAGTCAGACTCTGCAATTCGATGCAAGTAGTTAGAGAAAAATTGGGAATTAGCAAAAGACTAATACTTTATTATCATCGGAAGGTATTTTTGAAAACAAAGTCATTGCAAAGTGGAGCTTGGGTTATTACTTACCATGGTTTGGGGGGGGCGAGGTTGCTGTCTGAAAAGGGTCTGTGCTTTCGACATCTAAAGATGTTTCTTTCTTTAAAAAGTGTATTATGATGGTTCTATAGATAGCAGTATTGTGCATACTGTACTTCTCAAATTGATGTGAAAACAACACAAAGTATCGCACTTTTAGGGGTTTTGTCCTTAAATGTTGAGAAAACTGCTGCCTTAGACTGACCAGAGGAGACTTGTTCCAGAGTCCCGTTTTGCGTTTACTTGCATGCTCGTGGGCCGTAAGTCATGATGGAGATGACATTGAAGAGATCAGAGAGCGTAGCTTTCTCACAATGAATCGTTTTGTATTTATTAGGTCTTGTGGTGTTTTTTTTTTATTTTTAGGTAACTTTACTAGTACAGAAAACAACCAAGGTCACTTTCTTGAAACTCCGGAGGAAAAAGATCTCTCAAATGAGAAATGTTATTTAGAGAGACATTCTATATATGAAAAAGCAGAAGACCAGCCAACGGAAGATATTGGCCAACATCCATGTCCACGTCTGGAGAGGAAGCGTAAACACTCTGGTGAGAGAGTGCAAAATGATGGCAGCCAAAATGAAAACTTTGTGGATGAACTGCAGGATGAACTTATATCAAAAGCAAAAAAGAAGAAGAGCTCCAAAGGTAAGACAGCATTTTGCTTTGGTCTCTCTCAAGGAATGTCTTGTGAAAGGAACGTCCCTTTGGCTTAATGTGTTTCCATTTTTGAACTTGATAGTTACTAATGTGAGCACTGTCATTTCACTTAAAATTATATATATGTATATATATGTATGTATATATATGTGTATATATATATGTATATATAAAAAACTTGGTATCTAAGGGTAAAGCACTAGTCGTTGGACACTGTAGCCACAGCAGTGCAAGTTACTGTAGTGCATGTAACCCTTAATGAGCGAACCTTTAAAATGCATAGTGTGGTGCTAAAGCTGAGACTATATGCCCCGAAAGTGAAATGTAGCTTTTGTTTTAAGTTGAGGGGGCTTTTTGATTAATTTTTAGTTATTTTTCCATTAGATGACTGGCCTGAGAGGGAAATGACAAACAATTCCTCTAACCACTTAGAAGAGCCCAATTGTAATGAGGTGACCAACCTGAAGGTGTGCATTGAATTAACAGGGCTCCATCCCAAAAAGCAGCGTCACCTGCAGCATCTTAGGGAACTGTGGGAGCAGCAGGTGTCACCTGAGAGATCCCCGTCCGGCAAGTTGGGCCGGCAAAGCAGGAAAGATTTAGCTGAGGCTGTTCAGCCAGAGGCCACTGCAAAGGTCAAAGACTTCACAGAAGAAAGGCACACCAAGAAAAGGTCAGAGGCCAAAAGCAATAGAAGTTGGTCTGAAGAGTCCCTCAAAACAAGTGACAATGAACAAGGTATGCAGAGACTACTAGGGAAACCAGCCGGCTTTAGCATTTACAGTGACGCATGCTGCCACCGATGTTAAGGAATTGTCGAGAGCTTTTTTTTTTTGTTTTTTTTGTTTTTTTTTTTTTGATCTATATATATTTCTGTAGATGTCCATTTGTATAAGGACTGACACCTCCTCTTTAAGAACTGCACTGTAGCTGACAGTTGGCAGACAAGAAAATGTGTTTGTGTATGTGTGTAATTGTGTTTGTGTGTGTGTGCGTGTGTGTGTGTTTTGGCTTTAAATACTCTTTCATAGATAACGTGAAGTTTATGTCTCTAGAGGAGAGCTGGGGAGGGGGGCACACAGCGCGGGCATGCTTCTGGGCGAGGGAGGGAGCAAAGGGGCTGCTGGTTGGCCTCAGAGTGTTTAACCACCCGTAGGATTTGAGGGGCTGGGACCCTCTGGAACAGGGTCAGCACAGCTAGCAGCTCTTGGTCTCGGGAACCCAACGCCTCCAGCACCCTCGGCACTGCTGGGTTGCCCTGCCTTTCCCAGGGACTGTGCTCAGGAGCGAAGCTCATCCTTCGTCCAAAGAGGATGCCTTGCTGGTCCGTCCTGGGCATGTCCTGTAAACCCCCATGGCCTCACTCCCCGGCCCCTTGGCAGAGATCTTCCCAGCGGCTCTCTCCTAAGGAGTCGTTTCCTCAAAGCACATCAGCTTTCCTTAACTTGTTTCTGGCTGCTTCTTTCCCCCTCGCTCCGCTTCCTCCTTTTCCCCATCCTCTCCCCTTTTTGTGCCCATTCCCTATCCTGGGGGAGAGCCCGTGGAGGCAATCTCCCAAATTCTCCTTTGAGCAGAGAGGTCTTTCTCCTGTCCTCGCTGTCCTCAGCCCCCAGGCACGTTGTCTGCTCTGCCTCTTTTCCCCTCCCCTGCCACGTTTGCTGCCGTAGCCTGGTTGGGGACGTGGTGGGGACCGGCAGCAGGCAGAGCCCACGTGGCCGATCCCTTTCGCACGTCCCCTGCATCTCACCGTGAATCCCCGTCTTCTCCTCTGGGCACAGCAGGGAGCCCTTGTCTCCTCTTTCGGCTTTTCAGATAAAAGGCTGCAAATACTTTTTTTCTTTCCTCTCCTCATCTTACCCTTCCAAGTCTTCTGCCTGCCTTTGGGGAAGGGCTGTTTCTGGGAGGGGGAGCTCTGAGTTGGGTGTTTGGGCTCCTTCCTCCTTCACAGAGCTGGGAGCTTCATCAGACTGGTAGAGATTCACCCTCTCTGGCTGGCCTAACCTGTAGTTTAGCTGAGATCCCCTCAAAAGAGAGAAGCACGAGGACAGCGAATCCTTCTGTCCCATCCCATGGAAATGACTGAGTCCAGGTCATCCTGCACCGGTGGGAGTTTTCCTGGGTAGCATCTCCGAAACAGTCACGGACTTCCTTTCTGTCCTAAAGCTCCTCACCCATCTTTCCCCTCGGTAGGATTATCTGAGGGCAGAAAACCCCAAACTTTGATGCTTATTGATGGGGAAGGTTCTCTAAAAGGATTCGTGGAGCAGGAGATCAAAACTTAGTTTAAAAGGAGCTTTGACTCTTCCTCCCTTGCTTTATGTGCTGCCTTGGTGAGCTTGGTATCAGCTCAAACATCCCTGCCCATCACCTGCTCCCCTTTGTACTTTGAGAAAGAGAGACCTTGTAGAGATTAAACGAGGGTCGCTAACAAGAAGCCGCATTGTGCAAGGATGCTCTAGCTTTCTCAGAATCACAGAATCCCAGGCTGGTGGGGGTCCGAAGGGACCCCTGGATACCATCCCATCCAACCCCCCTGCCAAAGCAGGGTCACCCACACCAAGTTGCCCAGGATCGCACCCAGGTGGGTTTTGAATATCTCCAGAGAAGGAGACCCCACAACCTCTGTGGGCAGGCTGTTTCCCCTGCAATGCCTGCTGTGGCAGTGACAGGCTTCTCTAACCCGTGACCTCAGGGAAGAAAAAGAGATGGCACCGTTCCCAAAGACATTCAGATTGAGTCGCCCTGTGGCTATGAAAAACCTCTTGGCTTTGGAAGCTGCTCTAAAACCATAAACCTGTCGAAATTATGTCTCGCTATTCCTTGTGGAGAGGCGCTGGAAATCGTTCAGATCGCTTTGCTGATGCTCCTCCAGACCCATTGAAGTGTAAACATTTGAATCTCCTTTTTCTTAGTTCACTAGGATATTTTTCCCCGTTGTGCGACAGAGCATCCTCTGCATGACAGTTGCACGGGGATGAAGAATTCCAGCTTGTCTTTCTTGCCTAGGACTAGTCCTCAAACTTTCCTTAAACAAGCAGTTGCTGTGAATACAGGAATATACCCTGTCGCTTGCAGCTTTTTTTTGTTCTGGGGCTGGGAACAACTGTTCCCGGTGCCCGAATGTGACGGTCCCTGTGGCTGGGAAGCTGGTTGTATCCCAAGAAGCAGACTGTAACAGGGCATCCAGGTCTGCCCCTGCGCCCGTGAAGCCGTAGTCTAACAGCAGGATGATTTGCCGCCTGTGCCTCCAAATCTCCAGGAAGACGGAGGGGGCTGACTTCTGGGCTTGTTGCCCCAGTCGTGTTCAACCTGGGATTTTAACACAGGAGGAGTCACGCGTTGCGTTGCAAGCTGCCACTGGGCTGTCACCCCTCTGTCCCTCGGTCAGTGCCTGCTGGCTGGGTGACCAAGCGATGGCTGCTGGAAATGTTCCCCCGGTGACTCTTCCAGCTGTCACCTCCTTGCAGCCTTGCTTGTGGGTCAGAACCACGAAGGCCAGGATGTGGCTTGCCCAAAATCCAGAATAATTTCAGGCTCTCGAGGTGACGTTGCCCATGCTCGCTCTCTGGGATGCAGCAGGTCCGTGAGCGTGGAGATGCCTGCAACCTCAGGGCATTGTGCTGCTCGCCCGGACCCGGGGCTGAGGCAGGAGCCACGGTCTCTGCTGGGGTCCCAGCTCAGCAATTGTGCCCACCCACCAAAAACCCCCCCGGCGCTGCCGGCGGTGCAGGAGCCAGCTCTTCTGACAATCCCCTAGGGAACTGCAGCCGCTCACCCGGCGCGAGGAGAAAAACCCAGGCAGCGTGGAAATAAAATCCCTGAGGAGAGGAGCTGGGAGGATCTCGCCCAGCGGGAAACCCCTCGGA